TGATTGAAGAGGTATGATTTTAGTCAACCAAACTTTTTAAACCTTGCAGTGTTACAGCACACATTACAACACTGTTTATTGTATTTTTAAGATATACGACAGAAGGTAATTATTTCATTGTTCTCAAATATCGATGAAACTCTGATATGCATTTAGAATAAGCAAAAGGAAGAGCAAGCAGAAAGTGAATCAACAAAAAGGAAGCAAACAGAGAGCTTACCCCCTGCACATAAACTCTAATCCAGACAAATTCACTCATTGCACTGACTCCATGCCGCCTGGCATTTAAGCCGCAATTTGCAGCCACTGCTCATTAAAATGTGCTATTTCTGGCTGCTCGTTTTAGGTTTCAGGAAGAAAAAAAATACATGGACAATTCAAAACTCACTCATGCAAGAAAATCCTCTCACTACTTTCTGCTAGACTTGCTAATGTTCAAATTCAGATTCATCAGCCTCTCACTGGCATAAGCAAGTCAATATGAGCAGGTTTAAGTATCATAACTCAACTCCAAACAATTCACTATTAACAGTTGCATAATAAAACTCAAGCAGCACAGCTAGGACGAGAGGTGCAAGTACGACAATCACACAGAGAAAGTTACAGTCTACAGCAGTTTATATGCAGAGATGCTGGTGTGCCAATACAACGAACACAGAAATCATAACATTCAAAAACTCCATCAGTAAATTATGATGATAGTGCTGTGTAATGATGATTAGAACAGGTATTTTCTGGCTTTAAGTTTGTATCATAATTACACCTCACACAGATAAAGACAATGTGATTTTATGTAAAAATAGTGTAATTATCACCTGTGGGGAGATTAATGCTCTTTCGACTGGATCCAGCAGAGCATCGGGATCTTAAAAAAAAAAGGAAGAGAAAATTAGCAAATGCCAGCTAAAAACGCTCGTTCATTTCAAAGAAGGACGTTTTTGTACCGCATGTTTTCATTTGTTTGTTTCTAATTTTCACATTTTCTTTTCCTGCTGCAAAATGACCTTGATGGTTGCCTGATGGTGATTAAAGCTCACAAAGTAGAAAATGATATATTATAGGCACATCTTCTTAGTGTATGTGTCTATACGCCTGCATGTACCCTCTCTCCTCAAACACTGTCATATTATAACACTGTCCCTTCATATTATACTTATTTCATTCCCTGTAAATGCAATTTTAAATTCTCTGGTTGCATTTTTTTCCTACGTCACTTAATGAGCACCCAAAATTTGAACCAGCAACACAACTTTATTCAATGAATTATATAATGACTTGAAAAAGCGCTGGAAGTCTGGCAAAAGCTCCCATAAGGTGGGTTTGAGATTGATAAGTAAAGACTTAACTGAACACCATAAGTACCGTATTCAATTTAAAATATTACTCCTTACATTCAAAACTATTAATAAATTAGTGCCAAGTTATCTTAATGAACTTCTCAAATCACATACTCCTGCTAGAACACTCAGATCTGCCACTCAGTTACTTCTGACCCGACCTAGATCTCGGCTGAAGTCCCGGGGTGACCGTGCGTTTGCTCCGGCTGTCCCAGTACTGTGGAATACCCTTCCTCTCGACCTGCACGCATCTGATTCCATTGCACTGTTCAAATCACGTCTAAAAACCCACTTATTAAATCTTGCCTTTTGCTCTAGTTAATATTTATTTTATGAATTTATATCATGCACTTTTATGCTCATTTAAATTCTTGTTTGCTCTGTACCTGTTGCTTTCCTGTGTGTCAGTGACAGCTACCTGCTTGCATACTTAGCACTTGCTTTGGTCCTATTTCTATTATCCTCCTCCTATTCTCTATCTTACTTGTTAAGCACCTTGGCATACCCTTGGTTTTTAAGTGTGCTTTATAAATAAAGTTTATTATTATATTATTATAAAAATTAGTTTTTGTCCATAACTAAAGTATCCACACTGGCCCGATTACATCATCCTATCATCAACCTTTAACTCTGCTGCAGTCTTTGCTCATTGTATTCATCTTTTTTGCCACTTGAAGCGACATTTAAGCGGCCTTTAAAAGCTTCCACTTTCCTCAGCTTCTGTGGGGAGTTTACCTTTTGAAAGCTGCATCAACAACCACACCCAGAAAAACAAACCTCAGTCAGAGCTGACAGATCAACGAGCACAAACCAGCACATTTGGCCTTATCAGGGAAGCTCAGCGGTGCATAATTTATAGCCAAATACGTCGCCTTGCAGGAAGAGACAGAAATACAACGACGGAAAAAGAACAGCGACAACGTCAGCAGACACACACACACGTTGGAAACACGCACATGTTAAGGTACAGGCACACAATATCTTTAAAAAAGGTATATATATGCAGAGTTAGATATTCTGTACATGTAGTAAGTCAGCTTGTACTGCAGATAATTCCTTTGTTAGGGGAGCTGATGTCTGCTAATTAGCACTTCTGTTTGCTTCTAAAATCCTGCAGCCGCCGAGATTTCACCAGAGGATCAATGTCGACTAATGAGGACAAATATTATATCTGTATTTTTATTTCTCGCTCAGGAAAGCTTGAATTTACACAACCCCCCTTGTGTTTAATAACACTGCTCAACTATCACTTAAATAAAATCTAGAAAATCATTTTTTGCTCCATAACAGGCTGCACAGGTCAGGTGGCCAAGCAGCTGAATCGTTTTAACTGATCAGCGTTGCACGGATGGTTTAGTGCTGTGGGCCAGAGCAACATGAAATAAACCAGGGATCAGTAATAAAGCCTTCAGTTCAGCTTTGTTTTAGAGGTGCTTCAAGTAAGAAGCTGTCTGTGAGGTGAAAGAGATACAAGCCGCTGATGACAGATCATTTCCTGTTCCTCTTCAGACTTTGAATTTTAAACTGTGCTTGAAGGAACAGAAACAGCACTCAAATCATAACTTGTGTTTATATTTTCACCATACGGCTGCCTTTCACAGACCTGTACATGAGTCGCTCGATGGTCAGGTTTTTTTTCTATATGTATTTGACTGTGTAACTGTGTGGTACCATTATCTCCACAGATTATTATTTTTGCAACGTTAACTAAGCGGAGAATATTAGCATCAGCCCGCATTCACTAAAATGCAACTGACAAAGTTTAAATGAAGATTTCTTGTTTCTCTTTAAGAATTTGGCAGTTTCAATCAGTGAGGCGAAAGTCTAGCATTATAAACTGATGGAGACTGGGAGATGTGGAAAATCTAACATGACAGGGAGTGCAGGAGTTGCAAGTCGAGCAATTTGCATGTTAATAAACACCACTTTGTTCGTGCTGCTATTTTTTGTGCTTATTCTGTTTGCAGTGTGAGTCAAACTCAGGAATTTGATCCACAGCCACGTGTGACCAGCAAACAAACAGCTTCTGCACAGTTGCTTCTGTTTTTAGACGTTATAATAGACATTTAGATTATAAAT